ATGTAAATATCTGATGTGCAGGATATATTTTCATTCACTGGATCAAATTTGGCACAAATATGCCCAAATTTGAATACTGGTAGGGTTGGAGGGGGTTGATTTTGTCATTTGGGAGTTGTAGTTGCCGGGATTTATAGTTCACCTATAATCAAAGACCATTCTGAACTCCACCAACAATGGAATTGAACCAAACTTAGCACACAAAATTCCCACGAACAACAGAAAATACTGGAAAGGTTTGGTGGGCATTGACCTTGAGTTTTGGAGTTGTGGTTCACCTATATGCAGATAACACTGTGGACTCTAATAATGATGAATCTGGACCAAACTTGGCACAAATACTCAATATACCCAAATGTGAACACTGGTGGAGTTTAGGAGGAAATAGACCTTGATATTTGGGAGTTGTAGTTGCTGTAATGTATAGTTCATCTACTATAAAAGAGCATTCTGAACCCCATCAATGATAGAATTGGGTCAAACTACCCGCATAGAACCCCCATGCCTTGACAGGATTTGCTAGCATGAGCCTTCCTCCAGCCTCTCATGCTCTCCCTTGCCCATACATGGGCACCATGGTGCCATTCGCCAAACACACCTGCTCTCCCCTCCCCTCTTGGAATCTAAGAAACAACCCTTCCCTTGGATGAGAGGCTAGCCAATCACAGCAGAGGAGGGCTTTTGGTGGGAGGATTCGCCCTCTGTTTCCAAAAAGGAAGATAAGGAAAGGCAGCAAGATCTTCCATCTTCTCGGCCAAAAGGGTTCCTAAGACCATCAGAAATATATGTTTTCTGATGGTCTTTGGAGACCCCTCTGAAACCTCTTCATGACCCAAGGTTGAGAAACACTGCTCTAAGCAAAGTGTTTGCTGAAACATATCAAACCACTCTTCTCTTTTTGTGGTGTAGGATTCTGTCCTTATACTTTCTGTGTTATTTCTGCTTCTGGTGCCAAATTTTATGCTTAAGTAGGAACATGTCTACTTCAGTAACTGAGGTATGTACCTCTATTTTTCCATATCCTTGATGACAACTTTTTTCTTGTATAACAAATTCACATTCTTTTTCTGTTTTCATTTGCCATATATATGCAGCATTTTCGGGCTGAACCGTTTTTAACAGCTTTAATTTATTTTTAAATTGTGTTTTAACTGAATTATCCCCAGTAGCTGCCAGGGAATATTCAGTGCCATAGATGGGCAGCAATTATTAAGGCAATGATGAAAGCCTGGATATGCTATTGCTAACCAGCAGAAATACGGCAGAAAGATTGCAAGGTGCCATAAACCCAGCTGGGCAAGTCAAAGAGGCTGAATTTGCAGGAAGGCACTGATTAAGAGGGGAGAAAGTTCATGGAGGAAAGAGAAGGAGTTATTGCACTGTATGGCACCAATTCTAATGATGCCACTGAGGCGGTAATCTTTTCTTCCAAAGGAAATCAACTAATTTAAGCCATTTTAAAAAAGAGAACAAATTGAAAGTGAAAAATGTAAGCATCTGTTTCTCACCTGGAAGCCTTCTATTCAGAATTATGGTCTCTTGATAGTTCCTATTAGTTCAAAAATAAAATAGTCTGGGCAAAATGACATGCTCACAGTTGTGCAGGCTCTAAAACAGCTGCTTTAATACATAATGAGTCTCTGGAAAAATATTTTAAGTCAGAGGGAAAACTTGATAATACCAAAGGAAAGTAAACATGATCAAGTGGGATAGAAAGAGAGGTATGTGAAAGATGAGGCTTATGCAGATTAAGTTTCTGGAGAGTCATAGCCTATAGAAATAGATCATGTGGGAGTGCTGAATGACTTAGATGTTGTCCTTGATATGCCACCAAATTCTGTGAATTGATGAAATAGTGGCAGCTTCTCTGGAGAGGATGAACTAATGCCAAGGTTGTGTCTGCTCACATAATACTCACCAAGTTGACATCTTGGCCTGGGTTCTTAGGTTACTTTGGCAGTATTATTTATTATTTATTTATTACTTGCACTTATTAAGTATGGAAGATATGGCATTTTTTTTTCCTTCTCAAACTGTTCAGGCAACATGAGAAGCCTGGGAGTGTGCAAGAAAAGGCCATTGACATGTTGCCTCCTCTCTAGGAATGGGAATGGGAAGAAGAGAACTCCAATGGGGTCTCCTCCGTTGTGTTTTGGATCTCCTCATGTTCCTAATCCAAATGCTGCAAGTTCCATGACACTGAAACAACATTAGTACCTCATCTTGGCTCCAAGTGCCTTTCTCAGATGTGTATCAAAATATCCTGCTGCCTGACACATGTGTGTGTAGGACCTAACAAGACTGGCACCTCAAGACAGCTTCTTCCACATCACCAATGGCAAGAGGTTTAAGTTGAGGAGAGAAGCTAAAATGATGAGGAACTGCTGTCTTGCATCCAGCATCTGCCAGATGAGATGGTTGTCTCACTGCCTAATGATAGGGCTAGCCCAATCATTCTACTTACCAAATGGGAAAAGGGTTAGTTCATTAGCAATACAATAAACACTTGCTTGGGAGTAAACCAGGGAATGTTTTTGAGTAGAATACCTGGGATTGCTGTGTTGGGTTGTTCTCTTGAGCATTTACAAGACCCTGGATTGCAGGGAAGGGTATAACTTTCTGCCCAAGCAGTTCCACTCAGTTGGGTATGCAAGTCTGTTAGAAAACATAGGTGTGTGTGTTCCTTGGCCACTGAGTGACCGGTGAGGGTGCTGGACACTTGGGAACCATCCTGGGGCTTTACTGCAACCAAAAGTAAACAGCAGCTGTCTGTCTCTTGGATCTCCAGAGAGTACACTGGAAATCCAAGAGGAAGGCAGCTTTTTTTGTATTTCTATCTGCAGCTCGACAGTTCTTAGCCCGCCCCACCCCCATACTTTCCCCTGGCTGAGGACTTTATCATATGAGGTAGGCAGGCATGTATTTCAGTGGAACCTTCTCCCTATCACACAACACCATGTGCATCACAATACCATTTCCCTCTCCTGGTGATTCTTCCACCTCTAGTTACTGAAAAATAAAACTTAATGCTCCCCATCCCTCTGTTTTCTCATTACCTACCTTGCGACCATGTCACATAGCCACTGAAATCGTCCCGCATCATTGAAGGGCATGGGGAACCCGGAGCCCCATGCTTCACATCACACGACTTCTGTTCTAGCTGAACACATGGGGGAAAGTGTCAACCGTGTGACTCCCCCCCCCCAATTGCTTCTAATGGCAACACAGGAAGCCTCCCGTGTTGTCGTGGTAGCAGCATGTATTGGCTCTGCCCTACATCACCCACGGAGACGTAGTGGTGTCGTTTGATGGTAGTCAGCAGACTCCATGGGTGATGTAGGGTGAGATCAGTGTATGCCACCAAAATCTGCCCTTGTGATGAGACGGTTAGTGTGGGAGGTCCCTTCCTTTTTTGTGCCAGTATGTCAGCAGTAACATGGTGTCAAGGGTGGGATTCCTTTCCTCCTCCCCACTCCTCACTTCCCCTCATTATTTCAAAGCAGGCTGATTTATTTTATTTTATATACCACATGTAACTTTTTCTTTAGCACTAGAGTTACACAATTGCACTAAAAGAAGGGTCTGCAGTATTGCAGGAAGGCAGAGTTATGAGAGTGAGCACAAGTATGATCACAAGACCACAGACTGGCACATCACCACAAGTGTGCTCCCGAAGAGAAGAACAATATTGAAGATGCTCATTGCAGTATGACATTCACTGTCTACTTTAACGGAACTGTAGCAGAATAACAGGTTGGCATGATAAAGTCATGTTTTTGCAACAAGGTTGTGGAAGGCGGCAAGGCATTCGCTCCTGTCATGTCACATTAAAACCCAGAACAATCAATGCAGAGAACAGGGAGGAGAGACGGAAGCCAGGGCTCCCTGTCTAAGGATGGGTTTCTTTCTGTGTCCTTGTGAGGATGATCCAAAAAAATCTTATCATCACCCTCCCCAGGCTACCCTCTCAGGGACCACAGCCAACCTTTACATGCAAAAGCACATCACAACAAAAATAATAAAAAGTTGTTATTTTTAAAATCATGAAAAACTCATCATAAGAGTGCATCATCATACATTTGCATCGACTGCACATGAAAATGTAAAATGGGAATCATGAAACCTCCAAATATAGTAACGCCAGCTAAACTAAATCCATGAACTTTTATCCCTATGTTAATAACTCTGCTGTTGTTTCTAACTGACTATCTGGTAATGTTTATCCCATGATTACAGTGGTCTTCTAATAAAGATGGAAAAGCTTTGCATCCCCAGATATTTATTTATTTAGGACTACAACTCCCATAGCCCCTTACCATTGAACACAATGGGTCTCAAACTCCAAAACTTCTAGAGGTCCAATAGGTTATTTATTTTATTTACTATATTTGTACCCCACCCTTCTCATCCCAAAATGGACTCAAGGCAGCTTTACAATAGGCAACAATTCAATAAAAACAACAATTAAAATAGACATTTAAATTAAAATTTCAAATTAAAACATTTAAAACATTACATCAACTGTTAAAACCACACAATCCACAATGGTAATCCAGACCATTCCAGCAGTCATTGCACATATTCCGTATCCATTTATTGCACTACAATTATTATCTGAAAGCTTGGTCCCAAAGCCACATTTTCACTTTCTTTCTGAAGGCCAGGAAAGGAGGGGGTTGATTTAATATCAATGGGGAGGAAGATCCACAGCCGAGGGGCCACCACTGAGAAGGCCCTCTCTCTCGTCCCCACTAACCGCACTTGTGAGGGGGGTGGGACTGAGGGCAGGGCCTTCCTAGATTATCTTAACCTTTGAGATGGTTCATAGAAGGAGATACGCTTGGACAGGTAAGCTGGGCCGGAACCATTTAGGGCTTTATAGGCTAAAGCCAACACTTTGAATTGTGCTCAGTAGCAGACTGGCAGTTGTCTACCAATTTCTACAAACCTTACTCGCAATGGTAACACCAAGAAGAGAACTGAGGAGAATAAGGCACACATAGTCTTACAAAGTTCTTTATTCAAATAACCAGAGCAGATAAAAGAGGGATTTCAACATACCAGCTCAATCGATTTTGCTACACAATGTTGAACTCATGAAAGCCATACAAGAGTGGCTAAAAGACAGACAGCTGTGAACGTTGATGCTTCCAGCCACTATCATGGTTCCAATTCAGGTATGTGCACAATTACAAAGGATAAGGAGAAAGAAAGTTATGCCATGCTTTGCATATAAATTAAATAATTTACATCATTTTATAGCCATTTGAACATTTAGATGCAACATATAGGCAAGGGGGGCTTTAGAGTAAAAAAAGAGAAAACATTTCCACACAAAGAGAGAGAGAGAACACAAAGAAGAAGCATTCTTGTGTAGTCAAAATGGCATCCTTCTCCAACAGCACAGCCACAGGGGATTCCGGGGATGACTCAAGATGGTCATTTCAGTCTTGGTAAGACTTCACCAGAAGCCACATGAGGAGTACTGTGATGAGTACAATCATGAAGTTGAGGAAGAGCTCTTGTGCGGATCGGTCCATGGCCAGGGACAAGGGCAGAGGGTGGGCTGCAGAGGGGGAGCTCTTATTTCAGAGATGTCCTTGCGGTCAACCTTGTCCTTTCCTAAAGAACAAGAATAAAACTAGATGTGTGAAAATGGGAGGCCTGCTCCAGCACTATTTATAGCCCTGGTATAAGTAAATGTTGTTCCTACGGTCAACCTTTAGAGCAAGCAAGAGATGTTTTAAAAAGACAGAGTATCTCTAACAGCTTAACGCCTTCTTCAGTTTCAACTCCACAATGGTTCCCATTTTTTGGTGTTGCCTCCAGCCCAAATATAGTCCTGATGAAGAGGCACTATCCCAAGAATGTCATTTGGAATTGCAATTGTTTTGATACCCAAAGAGACACATGGACTTGATTTATGATTTTGAAAAAGGGTAGGACATTTGAAACTGCATTTGGAAAATTGTTTCTAATGTTGAGACATTACCATGGAAGTGCTGAAGCTGAAAATTTGGGAGTATGAGCAATACAATGCATAAGTACATTTGGAATACAACTTCCAGACAGTGGTCATGACAAGCAAGGAGTTCTAGGAGGAGGAGTACAAAAAAGGAACTTTTTATTTTAGCTTAAATATATTTTTGACTCACTTATAACTTGTAACTCTAGTCCATGAATGGGCAAACTTCAGACCTCCAGGTGTTTTGGACTTCAGCTCGCACAATTCCTAGCCTCAGGCCTCTTCCTTTTCTCTCTCCTATTCAAATGTTGCCAAAGGAAAATAGGATCCAGCCACCAAGAAGTGTCAATTTGTTTACAAGATGAGTAGGTCCACGACGGCCAAGTGTATGGGATAAAAAATGGTGGCCTTCTAAATCAGGGAATGACCATCTGATTAATTTAGTCCAGAGAGAACCACCAGAATTACTTTGGTCCATGGAGATTCCCTCTCTGGTCCCTCCCATCTTCAGGACCTTCTTCCAAGCCACACCTTTGGCCACAAAAGCCACAATTGTTGTGATGGAGGAGATCATTGCCTCCAGGGCTGTAGCCAGAGGGGAGTTAGAGGTTCAACCAGTTAACCAGTGAATTCAAACTGGTTAACCAAATCCCCATGCTAAGTCTATGAGAAGTAAAAAATTAACGAGTCCCCCTAAAACTGAAAGCACTATCACTAGCAAATTTTGACAATTTAGTCACAGTCATTACTTGCAGCCATAGGTGATATAGTGAAAGCAACCAAGTTGGCCCACCCATAATTAGTAGGCAAAGTTTAAGGAATGGGAGGGATTTGAAGCCCTCCATAAAGGAGACCAGAAAAAAATTAATTTAATTAAGTCTATATAAAATATAGAATGAACTATACTATTTAAATTATTTTGTGTTGTGGAACTACTCTTCATAATTTGCTAAAAAAAGTAACACACACCCCTCCCCCAATTCTGGCTATGGCCCTGGTAGCCTCTGGTCATGTAGCCATAGAATAATTGTGATATTTTTGTGGTAGTTTTGTCCTCTGGACAAATAATGGGTATGATACAGTCGTTGCAGCAGAAAGCAAAAAGAAACAGATGAGCAACTCATTATATGGCTAAAGCTATTACAAATGCCCCCATATTGAAAATTGCTATTTGAAACAGGTCGTTCTTGAGTCAGTAGGGGTGGTGGCCAGTGGCTTCCATGGGTTTTATCCAATCTTTAGAGAAGACACCTAAGTTGCTGAACCCTATCCCAAACTAGACTCAGCAGTCAGCACCATGGATAGCTGTTTTTATTGTTTATTTGTTTGTTTACTTTATTTATACCCCACCATTCTCTCCCAGGGGACTCAAAACTGCCAACAACATTTATATTGTGTAAATGCTATTTTAGATTGTAAGTCGCTCGGAGCACCTTGGTGGAGAGCGACTAATTAAGAAATAAAGTGAAGTGAAGTGAAGTGAAGTGAACAACCACCTTGGTAACTGCATGGTAGCTGCTTGCCACCATGGATCAGTGGATCTGGTAATGCTCAAATGGTTCTTATAGAGATTTAGTTTACTATACTGAAAATCCAATATTTTATGCCTGTAATTAATTTGCATTGAGCCATCTGATTCATTTAAAACATTTTTAACCATCCAGAAAGTTCCAAGGGGGTGTACAATGGTGCGCACCAAGCTACTCACACCAACATTAGCTATTATATCTCAAGTTATTTCTGTCACAAATCATGAAGATCTGATATGCAAAAAGGTGTCTTGCAAACATTTTTTAAATCGAAGCACATTGGACCGTATTACATTTCACGCCTTGGCATGCACATGTTACAAAATCTGATGGCAGTTAGTAGAATGATCAAATCTCTCTCCTGCTTCATAAAAAGAATATCAGGAAAAGTTTAATAAAGGGCAGCATTTAGAGAAAGAGACAGTTTCTATGTAAGTAAATAAATAACTAATAATAATATATTAATCAATCAATAAATCTCTATCTGTTGTTGAAGGCTTTCATGGCCGGAATCACTGGGTTGCCTTGAGTTTTCCGAGCCATCTTCCAGAAGCATTCCCTCCTGACATTTTGCCCACATCTATGGCAGGCATCCTCAGAGGTTGTTAGGTCTGTAGAATACTAGAGTTCTTTCTCCCACACTGAATATTCCACGGATATATAAACCACACTTGCCTAGTTTCCAACAGACCCCTCAACCTCTGATGATGCCTGCCATAGATGTGGGCGAAGAGAATGCTCCTGGAACATGACCCTACAACCTGGAAAACTCACAGCAGCCCAAATCTCTATCTCTTTGTCTCAACATGCATGCACCACATTTGACTATTCTATCTTGAGAGATCATGAGAATAGAACTAGCAGGATTAAATGTTCAGGATAAACTCTGAAAATGAGCTAGTTTGTCCATTAGTCAGGTCACTAAGAACAAAATCAAAATAAAATAAATTATCAGACAATGCACTGATTTGTAGTAAAGCTTTGGAAAAATTTTAGACTGAAACTATTAAAAGCCTTGCTGTCTAGTGGGTTAATGAAAGTTGTACTCCCAAAAAGCCAATTTTCCAAGCTACGTTTTTTGCCAATATAAACTTAATCGTGTCTCTTTAGATCTTACTATAATTTTTCTCCTCTATCTATGTCCACTCAGGTCATAGATCTTAGAGATATATTTACAAAAGCTGCATAGGAGACTCTTTTCTGGTTTTATTAAAATGGTCATTTAATATTTCCCTTTTGATAGTTTTTATCTTCACCTTTCACTGAACTTTTAAAATGTTGAAAGATTGCATAACAGGGTTGTTGTGAGTTTTCCAGGCTGTATGGCTATGTTCCAGAAGCATTCTCTCCTGACATTTAACCTACATCTATGGCAGGATCCTCAGAGGTTGTGAGGACCTCACAACCTCTGAGGATGCCTGCCATAGGTGCAGGCAAAACATCAGGAGAAAATGCTTCTGGAACATGGCCATACAGCCCAGAAAACTCACAACCCAGTGATCCCTGCCATGAAAGCCTTCAACAATATATTGCGTAAAACTTTCCTCTTCCAAAATGTTCTGACTATGACATATTTCTGTTTAGTTTGGCCAGAGCCAATCTGATATTTTGATATCACTGTTTAATTTTTCAAGTTCTCCAGTGGTGACCTTGTAATATTTTTAGTGCATATTTGCTTGGAAGAAAACCCTGCCCACTTGCAGACAAATAAGCAAAAGTTGGTCTCTTAAGTTCGAGCGAGCTGAATGGGACAAACTCCAGACTTCATACAGATAAGGCTACTGCTTGGGATTGGTAACCTTATTATAATATTATTAAGGAAGATATTAGATACCTATATGAGTTAACATTACTACAAAAATATTTTAGCAATGGCAAATATCACTTTTTCAAAGTGCTGAAAACACTTTTTTCAAGAAAAAGTACACTATTATATTATTTTCTTTGACTGACAGTAGGCTTGTGCTAAAATACTGTGGTTTATCAAAGCTACAGGTGGATACATCTTATGTGATATTTGCTTCTGGTTACTCAAAAGTTAGGCCAGTGCTTTACGCATGATGGTCGCTTCTGGTATGAGAGAATTGGCCAGATACAAGAACATTGCCCAGGGGATGCTCAGATGTTTTACCATCCTGTGGGAGGCTTCTCTCATGTCCCTGCATGAGAAGCTGGAGCTGAAAGACGGAAGTTCACCCTGCTCCCTGGATTCGAACTGCCAAACTTTCAGTCAGCAGTCCTGCTGGCACAAGAGTTCAACTCATTGTGCATGGTGGTAAATGAGCTGTATGAAACAAAGAATCGGGGTGGCCCTGAAATTATTACATTGCCTTCAGCAGTAAAAGTTCTGAATCCAAGTCTTCCAGAAGTCTGAGATTCAACAAGTTGCCCTCATCAATTAACTTTCATTCAGCCTCAGTTCCTGACTTGCAAAGTGGAGATAATGGAAATTTTCGTGGGTGAGATTCCAGAGCAAAGAAATAATGGATGTGATGTACAATATCCTCCCCTAGTTTAAATGAAAAGTTGGTGTATGTGTGAGAGAGAAAGAGATAGACTGTGTGTGCAAAATTTTTCTTATGTTTCAAACTTTCAAGTACTACATCAATAGCACTATGTATAGAAGCCCCCGGTGATGCAATGGGTTAAACCATTGTGCCAACAGGACTGCTGACCGACAGGCTGGCAGTTCGAATCTGGAGAGCAGGGTGAGCTTCCATCTTAGCTCTAGCTCCCCATGCAGGGACATGAGAGAAGCCTCCCATGGGATGGTAAAAACATCAAACATCTGGGCAACATCCTTTCATATTGCCAATTCTCTCACACCAGAAGTGACTTGCAGTTTCTCAAGTTGGTCCTGACACAAAATTTGGAGAAAAAAACCTATTTCTGGTTTGAAATTGTTATTCTTGTTTAATTGTGTAGTACGAACATTTAAAGTAGTTGTCATACTCCAGAAACTTCATTTTTGTGGCTGACACAAATGATGTTGAATTGGTTGAGACTCGATGAACTATTCATTGAAAAACTATAGCAAAATGTGCTGCAGGATGTTCCACAAAAAACAAAGATGTTGCAGTTCAATAAACTTTTTTCATGTTTTTATATTAGAACCAATTAGGAAATGATATTTATAACCCAGGAATCAAAATTGTGTTACATCATGCAGTTAGTTGTAGTAGTCTATCCAGAATGAAAAGAGAAATTGACCATTAGATGGCCATTAGATGTAGCTAGAACCAGACTGGTTTAAATAGAGTTGGATTGCTGTGAGTTTTTCAGACTGTATGGCCATGTTCCAGTAGCATTCTCCCCTGAACTTTCGCCTGCATCTATGGCAAGCATCCTCAGAGGTTTGTTCAGACCTTGGAGGATGCTTGTCACAGATGCAAGTGAAATGTCAGGAGGGAATGCTACTGGAACATGGCCATACAGCACAAAAAAAACTCACAATAACACAGTGATTCCAGACATGGAAGCTTTTGACAACACATTAAGTAGAGTTGTTCTCCTTAAAGCACAAAGATTAGAACGCCAGCACTTGGTTTACTTTTAAATGTTAGAGCTTCCCCTCTTCCCCATCTTTAGAGTGTTTTAAGTTTTCTATTATCTTTTGAAGATGGAAGATCCCAATCATAACAAATGCATCTCTTGGTCTACCTGAAGAAGACAGGTGGGTGGGTGGATGGATGGTTAGAATACAGCTCTTCAGCCTGTGGTACCCAGAGCTTCTCTCAGCTTCTCCTCATCTCCCAGTGCAGTCTGGATTCCCTGGCCCTTTGGTGGGACTAAAGTAGTACAAGGGAGGAGGAAAGGAATGAGGGTATTGGCAACAAAAGCCTTGACGTCACCAGCTGCATACTTAAGAGGGGGGCAGGCTGAAGACCAGCATTCAGTTAAGGCTATTTATGCCTGGGGAGAAGGGGTGGGTCAGTATTGCTTTACATGTTACCTTTAGATTCTTTCCTTCATAGAGTTGTTTGCACACCCAGGACTTCTTAACAGGGCAGGAAAGTTACAGATGCTGTTTTCTTTAAAATCAGGTTTGCTTTGCTTCAAGGTTTCCTCTATACTGTAAGGAAAATCACAGAAGTCTGCACATGCAAGAAAAATTGAAGTTCTTCAGGATTACGGCAAGGCTTCATCCCGCCTTTTGACAACTGGGTGGGTTCCAAATTCTATGCAGTTTGCTTGGCAAGAGTGGCCACCTGTTGCTGTCTTCCATCCTTATTATAGTAGCCAGTTTGGCTTCTCGTGTTCCTATAGGCTTGATCCAAGGCAGAAGTGCAGGAGAAAAAAATTATTTGTGCTCAGATGTGGGACAACCAAGTACCGCTTTGGTAACTTCCATTAGATCTTGAGTTGCTTACTTACTTAGGCAATTCCTCGAAGCTCAAGGATGATGGTTCTCCAAGTCTGGGGTCTTGGCAGTGGGTTTGTAGGTGGTTGTGGAGCCCTATTCTTGATCTGCATGTTCTCCCGGAATGAGGACATCATTTTCCAGATGGAAGGTGGTCCCGGTCAGGGTTGGCTTGACGCTCCTTCCTCTTGGCACATTTCTCCCTTTTGCCCTCCATTCATGCCTCTTTGAATTTTGCAGCACTGCTGGTCACAGCTGACCTCCAGCTAGAGCATTCAAGGGCCAGGGCTTCCAAGTTCTTGAGTTGCATTTATTTGAAATACAAATGCAACTCAACAGCAGTACATGTGTACTGTTAAATTTCAAAATAAAAATAGATAGCAATAAAATTACATTAATTGAGGTATACAGCTTATCCTCTCCCCTTGGCACAGCAACCCAGCTTTCCTCTCCTCCTCTCTCCGCACAGAGACCCATCTGGGTTGCTGTGCTGAACGGAGAGGAGGAACACAGCTGGTAGAAGCCCTGCAAAGGCTTCTTTCAGCCCCACACCTTCCCACCAAGACCCTCACTCAAGTATAAGCTAAGGGGGCTGAAAAACTAGGCTTGTGCTCAAGTATATACAGGTAAAGATTGTCCCCTGACATTAAGTCCAGTCATGTCTGACTCTGGGGTGTGGTGCTCATCTCCATTTCTAAGCCGTGATATGATATGTCCTCACTCTCAGTTTCATTGTTTTGACTTCTATACGGAGTCCAGGCTTGATTTGCTTTAGAACCCATTTATTTCTCATTTTATATAGGAGCACACTATATAGGATCTCATATAGTCCAGTCTCCAAAAGATTTTACTGATTACAATACCCTTTATTTTTGTGTTCCCCAATGTACCTGTTAAAGGGGATTTTTGAAAATGTGAAGTAATGATTCTGGAATGAATTCTGAGAATGTATAGCTTGAGACAGTTATGTCAAACACTGGAAATGAAGTGAGATCCTCCACAAGATCTGAGGGCTGCAAGCCAGCTTGAGGCATGCAGGACAGATTGTTTAGAACACAGGACTCTGTCTTCCTACAGAGAAAGACCACCTGACAGTATTCTCTACCTTAAGCAATCATGTCTCTCTGCCTTAAGGGAAATCTGGTCCAACCATACGGCAACTCTTCCTCACTTAAGGTCTGTTTTAATTTTTCATAGATAATACAGTTGGCCCTCCATGGCCACAAATTTTGTATGGAGTCCCTGGTGGTGCTACGGGTTAAATCCTTGTGTCAGCAGGACTTCTGACTATAAGGTTGACAGTTGGAATCCAGAGAGAGTAAGTTGAGCTCCTTCTGTCAGCTTCAGCTCCCCATGAGGGGACATGAGAGAAGCCTCCCACAAGGATAGTAAAACATCAAAACATCCAGGCATCCCATGGGCAACATCCTTGCAGACGGCCAATTCTCTCACACCTGAAGCAACTTGCAATTTCTCAAATTGTTCCTGACATGAAAAACCTTTTTTCTATTCATGGATTCAACATCCAGAGCTTCTAAATATGTTTTTTAATAAATAGTATTTTTTATTTTGCCATTTTCCATTAGGGACCATCATTTTATTACACCATTGTAAATTGTAAATAATGAGACTTGAGCATCTATAGATTTTTGTATCCACCAAGGTTCTGGACCCAAACTCCAGTGGATACCAAGGATCCACTGGAATCAATTTATGGTGTCAAAAATCTATTCTTGAGACTGTGCCACTATTGCAAGAAATGCTTTCCCAACAGAAAGGCCTGTGATTTCATTTTCTTCTTGTACTCTTAGAGACCCAGCATGGTATAATGATTCAATTATGACTCTAGAACAGTGGTTCCCAACCTGTGGTCCGTGGACTACCAGTGATCTGCAAGAACAAAAATATGGTCCGCGGCATCACCATTACTACACCGTTGCCTTGAAACCACATGGCAACTAGAGCGACTGGTCTCGCAAAACCCTCTTATAGTGCCAAGGCAACAGGGATGTCAGGAGTGGAGAAGCTGACTATCCACGAAAGATTGCGACTACCACATCAGCTCTAGATTATTTAAATATGGTTTTCTGTAAGTAAACAGATGGCGACGACTGGATGGCATATGTTCTATATCAGAAACTAGAATTGTTGTGGTCTATTCAATGCAATTTTCTGAATCAGCACCCAAATAACCAAACCAAATCTAAAGTTAACCAAAAACTGATTCGTAACCCTTTTGGTACTAATGTTGGAGAGTGGTCCCTGGTCAAAAAAGTTTGAGAACCACTGCTCTAGAGATTAGGGTTCAAATCTAGGGTCAATCACGGAGGCTCGGTGTGAACTTGGACAAGTCACACTTAAGTTTGTAGGATAGGGAAGGCACACTTGAAAAAATCTTGCTAAGAAAACCCCATAATAAATTTGCCTTGTTGTTCATTCGTTCAGTCGTCTCCGACTCTTCATGACCTCATGGACCAGCCCACGCCAGAGCTCCCTGTCGGCCGTTACCACCCCCAGCTCCCTCAAGGTCAGTCCAGTCACTTCAAGGATGCCATCCATCCATCTTGCCCTTGGTCGGCCCCTCTTCCTTTTGCCTTCCACTTTCCCCAGCATAATTGTCTTCTCTAGGCTTTGCTGTCTCCTCATGATGTGGCCAAAGTACTTCAACTTTGTCCATAGTATCCTTCCCTCCAATGAGCAGTCGGGCTTTATTTCCTGGAGGATGGACTGGTTGGATCTTCTCGCAGTCCAAGGCACTCTCAGAACTTTCCTCCAACACCACAGCTCAAAAGCATCGATCTTCCGTCGCTCAGCCTTCCCTAAGGTCCAGCTCTCACATCCGTAGGTGACTACAGGGAATACCATGGCTTTGACTAGGCGGATCTTTGTTGCCAGTCTGATGTCTCTACTCTTTACAATTTTATCGAGATTGGACATTGCTCTCCTCCCAAGAAGTAAGCGTCTTCTGATTTCCTGGCTACAGTCTGCATCTGCAGTAATCTTTGCACCTAGAAATACAAAGTCTGTCACGGCCTCCACGGTTTCTCCCTCTATTTTCCAGTTGTCAATCATTCTTGTTGCCATAATCTTGGTTTTTTTGATGTTTAGCTGCAACCCGGCTTTTGCGCTTTCTTCTTTCACCTTGATTAGGAGGCTCCTCAGCTCCTCCTCGCTTTCGGCCATCAGAGTGGTGTCATCTGCATATCTGAGGTTGTTAATGTTTCTTCCAGCAATTTTCACCCCAGCTTTGCATTCATCCAGCCCCACACATCGCATGATGTGTTCTGCATACAAGTTAAAAAGGTTGGGTGAGAGGATGCAGCCTTGCCGTACGCCTTTCCCAATCTTGAACCAGTCTGTTGTTCCATGGTCAGTTCTGACTGTTGCTCCTTGGTCCTTGTACAGATTCCTCAGGAGAGAGACAAGGTGGCTTGGGATGCCCATCCCACTAAGAACTTGCCACAATTTATTATGATCCACACAGTCAAAGGCTTTAGAATAGTCAATAGAACAGAAATAGATGTTTTTCTGAAACTCCCTGCCTTTCTCCATTATCCAGCGGATATTGGCAATTTGGTCTCTCATTTCTCTGCCTTTTCTAAACCCAGCTTGAACATCTGGCAACTCTCTCTCCATGTATTGCTGGAGTCTTCCTTGCAGGATCTTGAGCATTACCTTACTGGCATGAGAAATAAGGCCACTGTACGGAAGTTTGAGCAGTCTTTCGCATTTCCCTTTTTTGGTATGGGGATATAAGTTGATTTTTTCCAGTCTGATGGCCATTCTTGTGTTTTCCATATTTGCTGGCATATGGCATGCATCACCTTGACAACATCATCTTTCAAGATTTTAAACAGTTCAGCTGGGATCCCGTCATCTCCTGCTGCCTTGTTGTTAGCAATGCTTCTTAAGGCCCATTCAACCTCACTCCTCAGGATGTCTGGTTCTAATTCATTCACCACACCGTCAAAACTATCCTCAATATTACTATCCTTCCTATACAGATCTTCTGTATAGTCTCGCCACCTTCTCTTGATCTCTTCAGCTTCTGTTAGGTCCCTGCCATCTTTGTTTCTTATCATACCAATTTTTGCCTGAAATTTACCTCCAATGTTTCTAATTTTCTGGAAGATGTCTCTTGTCCTTCCTATTCTGTTGTCTTCTTCCACTTCCATGCATTGCTTATTTAAAAATAGTTCCTTATCTCTTCTGGCTAACCTCTGGAATTGCGCATTTAACTGGGCATATCTCCCCTTATCCATGTTTCCTTTTGCTTTCCTCCTTTCTTGGGCTACTTCCAGTGTCTCAGCAGACAACCATTTTGCCTTCTTGGTTTTCTTTTTCTTTGGGACGTACTTTGTTGCCGCCTCCTGAACAATGTCTCGGACTTCTGTCCATATTTCTTCTGGGACTCTGTTTACTAAATCTAGTCCTTCAAATCTGTTCTTCAC